GTCCCCCATGCTCCTTACATCTTTGATCCCTAGTGGGAAACACAAGAGCATATCTACCAACATTTTAAATAAAAAATCCATAGGACAAAGCCTACAACATTATACTTGGTCTTCCTCTTTTAAAAATAAGAGTGAATCCTAGAGGCAAATACAGGTTGCTCTTGCTTTTGAGAAACTATACAGCCTCAGTACATAGGAAATGTTATCTGATGCCCCACACCAGTGGTCTCCAAACTTTTCTAATTATGTATCTCATAGTAAAAAAGTGGGCATATAATCTGAATAGATATATGTACACACACATGTGATGGTTATGTTTGTATGTCAGCTTGGCCAGGCCTGGTTGAGTGGCTGGGCAGCTGGATATAGTATTCCCCTTGATGAGACTGGTAATCAACTCCATGGTGGAATCTACTGGGAGCAGCTAAGTACCTGCCTTTGGGTATATAGTCTGCTTCCTTTATATAAGGAGAAGCTTTGAGAAGGGTCTCTAGCCTGTGGCACGCTTGAATTGTGCATGTAGCCGTTTGTTGCTAAGCTGCCTGCTATGCTCTGCCAACCTTGGGACTTATAGTGGACTTAAGTTAATGGCCTGCCGTGTGGTTTGGTAACATCGGGACTGTGCCTTTTGACTTGTCAACCTTGGGGCTTCTCGGCCTCAGCAGCCAGCAGCTGTCTGAGTGAAGAAATGCCTGTAGTTCCAGTGGGCCGGGAGCAGGAGGCAGAGCTAGACCCCAAGGTTGAGGGGCTTTCATCCAGCTGCTAGAGCCTGGCACTTTGAACTTGGACTTAAAGCCTCCAAACTGTAAGAATAAACTCCGGTTTGTTAAGGCCATCCCATTTGTGGTATATTCTTGTTAGAGCAGCACTAGGTAACCAGAACAACACACACACACACACACACACACACATATATATTCATAGTTTATCTACATCTACATTTATAACTGTTTGTGCCATGTACTAATATATATTATAAAACTAGGCTTTACAGAATGAATAAAATGAAATATTCAGTATATACATAATTTTTAACTTTAATAGCAAAACCCTTTTTGCTGTCAGTTAGTGGGAATGATGTGTTTGACTATGTCATATTTGATGGCCCTGTCATTATTTTGCTTGGCAAGGTGGCTGACAAAGGATTCATGAGGAATAGAAGTGTCAGCACTACTATTTTCTTAGTGTTTACTTGAGCTGGTTACACTATAATAATTCTCTTATATTGACTGTTTCTCTACAGAAATCTTTTTAAGGCACTGTTCATTTTGTAAAGCTTGTTTTAATTAAAATTGGTTCATAAAATCCACCAATCCACATAAACAGGCATATGTAAACCATTTGTGCAGTGAAACACTGAGGGCAAACAAGTGAGGATGCCAATACCTGCCAACCCTTCTGAATTGGGGAACTCAAAAAATGTAATTGTCTGGCATACTTCTGGACCAACCTATTTATTAAATATGAATAGAGCTTTCTTTCTCTGTTTTGGAATAAAATGAGTATAAACAGAAGTTCTGATATGTCTTTCCATAACCTGTCAATCATCTTGCTTACCCCTGGGATGCTTATAACCGGTGTATATACATTATACATGATTACCTCCTTACATGAACAAGATCCCACTCTGAAGACCACTGCTCCAGATGGCTTCTTCGTATAAAAACCATCTACTGTACCATTTTAAAAATAATTTTAATTGAACAAAGAATTCTTACCAGGACCTTCTAAACTCTCCTTTACCCTGTATCAACCTCTGAATTTGATTACAAAACTTTTCTCTGTTTTATAGTTGGAGAAATTAATGCTATAAGTGATTTTTTACATTAATGAGTATTTATGGTTGACATTGTAACTCTAAGATTACGTTTCCATTTTTTCCTCTAATCTGGATCATGGACTCTCTTGTGAATATTGCCATACACACACACACACACACACACATATATATATCACCAACAGCTAAGCAGGAGCTCTGGTAGCATAGTGCCTAAGGCACTTGACTGCTAACCAGAAGGCTGGTGGTTCAAACCCACCAGCCACTCCTCGGAAGGAAGGTTGGGCAATCCTACTTCTGTAGTGATACTGCCTCGGAAACCCAAGGAGGGGTCGCTGTGAGTCGGGGCCAACCCGACGGCATATAACAACAACAAATAGCTAAGCATTTATCATGTATTTCATGTACTTTTCTGTTTAATATTTCAAAGCAATTGATTTAAAAATCAAGGTTTAGCAATCAAGGCTGATATGCTGTGTGTGTTCTAGTTAAAATTTTAGCTGATTAAGTGTAAATCTAAGGAAAAACACACCTATAACTTATCCTAATTGAGCCTGTTTTCTTCAGCTTTCTTCACAGAAGTCAGTGCCATGGATACCCATGCTAAAATCACTGCCACTTTGGGCTATTGTAGTTGCACATTTTTCATACAACTGGACTTTTTATACCTTATTGACATTATTGCCTACTTACATGAAGGAGATCCTAAGGTTCAATGTTCAAGAGGTAAGAAGAAATCATGATCTGTTTATTTTCTTCTGTAGTGTATAAATTTAAAACTGCATGCAAAATTTGTTTTTAATCTATGTGAAACTCAGTTATTTTATATTTTCCATTTAATTCCGCTATACTTAATTCATAGACTTCTCAGTGTGTTAACTCTTTAGCCATAAAGGTTGTACAAGTTGCCAGTAATATGCCAGGAGATAGATGACTAATATTCCCTGCTAAGGTAATGGCACTCTGTTGGCAACTGAGAGGGGAGGCTAGGAGAGCCAAGCTTCTCATGCAGAGGTATTGGAAGGGGGTATAGTTCTAAAACTATATAGTTACACAGTAATATAAAGGCAATGCTGCTAACTTTAGAACTCATCAAATTGAGACTGTTCTTATCATCTACACATTGATGAATTTAAGGTAAATCTTACCTTTTTAAAAAAATTTTATTTTCTTGTTGTTATTGAGAATATACACAGGGAAACATACCCATTTCAACAGTTTCCACATGTACCATTTAATGATAAATCTTCTCTTTAAAGTGATTGATAAAAAGCTTACAAAGTAAAAGGCATAGTTTGTGAAGAAAATTGATGGTGTTTTTGCCTTCAAAGTGAAGGATATATCAAAACCTAAATGTAAGAACTAAAACGATAAAAGTCTTGGAAGAAAGCATAAGGGTAAGTCCTCCTGAACTTCGCTTTGGCAATGGATTATTAGATATGAAAAGCACAGCAACAGAATAAAAATTTGATAAATTGAACTTCATCAAAATTAAAGAATTTAGTGCAAAGTACATTACTTACTCACAGCCATTGAGTCGGATCTGACTCATAATGACCCCTCCTTGAGTTTCCAAGGCGGTATCACTACAGAAGTAGATTGCCCAGCCTTCCTTCCAAGGAGTGGCTGATGGGTTTGAACCGCCAGCCTTCCAGTTAGCAGTCAAATGCCTTAGGCACTATGCCACCAGAGTTAACATTATGATCTAACAATTCTAAAGCTAGGTATATAGCCAAGAGAATTAAAAACACATGTCCATACAAAACTTGTACATGAATGTTCATAACAGAATTATTCACATTAGCCAAAAAATAGGAACAACCCAGATATCTATCAACTGATAAGAACCAAATGTTGTATAGCTGTACAATGGAATATTATTTAGCTACAAATTGAAAGAGAGCCCTAGAAGTAAAGCAGCAGCCTGCTTTACTCAGTAGCATTGGGTTTTGTGTGCATTGTAAAGTTAACATGTTGTTAGGTGTCCTCGAGTCATCTCCATCTCATAGCGACCCTGCGCACAGCAGAATAAAACACTGCCCAGTCCCACACCAGCTCCACAATCCTTGCTGTACTTTAGCCCTTTGCTGTAGCCACTGTGTCTATCCATCTTGTTGAGGGCCTTCCCCTCTTTCGTCAACCCACTACCTTAGCAAGCATGACATCGTTCTCCAAGGAACGGTCCCTTCTGACAACATGACCAAAGTAGGTGAGACAAAGTCTGGCCATTCTCATTTCCAAGGAGCATTCCAGCTGCACTTCTTCCAGGACAGATTTGTTAGTTCTTTTAGCAGGCCATGGTACCTTCAGCATTCTTCGCCAGCACCATAACTCAAAAGCATCCACCTTCTTCGGTCCTCCTTATTCATTGTCCAGCTCTCACATGCATATGAGGCAATTGAAAATACCATGGCTTGTGTCAGGTGCACCTTACTCCTCAAGGAGACATCTTTGCTCTTCAGCACTTGAAGGTGGTCCTTTGCAGCCGATTTGACTAGTGCTGTACGTCTTCTGATGTCCTGATGGCTGCTTCCATTGGTGTGGATTGTAGAACCAAGCAATATGAATTTAACATAGTAACTATGATTTGGAGTAAAATTAAGATCTGAAAAACCAAACTCACTGCCGTTGAGTCGATTCCACCTCACGACAACCTCCGTTGGGTTTCCGAGGCAGTAAATCTGTATGGATTGTCTGATCTTCCTTTCACTCAGCATGCAGATTGAAAAACTATGTGAAAGGGTATGACCCTCACCCACATCCTTCCTTCCTGATTTTAAACCATGCAGTATCCTCTCGTTCTTTTGAACGACAGCCTCTTGGTCTATGTACCAATTCCTCGAGAGCACACTTAAGTGTTCCGGAATTCCCATTCTTCTCAATGTTATCCATAATTTGTTTTGATCTGCACAGTCAAAAGCCTTTGCACAGTCAATAAAACACAGATAAACATTTTTCTGGTATTCTTTGCTTTCAGCCAAGATCTGTCTGACATCAGCAGTGATAGCCCTTGTTCCATGTCGTCTTCTGAATCCAGCTTGAATTTCTGGAAGTTCCCTGTCAGTATACTGCTGCAACCATTTTTGACTTACATATAGCATCAGTAATGATACTCAGGCACTATCCAATTCTTCTGGTCTCCTGGCAAAGGAGGCAGTTGTTCATAGAGGCAATTAGCCATACCATACTGGTCCTTATTCTCCTTCTTCCTCTGTTGCTCCAGGTAAATAGAGAGGAATTGCAGTGGCTTAGATGGCTGCTTGCAAGTTTTTAAGACCCCAGGTCTTGTGCAATGAAGTAGAAAGTAGAACAGAAGCACACGCTATTAGACCAATTAACTGGGCTGTCCCATGAAACCATGGCACTAAACCTCCAGACGAAGGAACCAAATTCCATTTTGCATTTGATTATACATAAGCAGCCTCGGCAGCTGCTCTTTTTTGTTGTTACTGTTATTGTAAATATGTCTATCATACAACTTTCGCCAATTCAACTTTTGGGAGAGTTTTAAACATTTGAACTTGAAGTGGAAAAATTTAGTAACTCAGAAGTAGTTTCAGTTTTATCCCACCAGGGAATAAAAGCAAGATCAGAAAATTCACTTCTCTGATTTACTACAGTTTATTCTTATGTAGGATTCTGCATAATAAATGTGATCTTACTTTCTGGAAGTCTAAATAGAATAAAATTTGTAGAAGAAATTACTCAGCTAATGTATAGAAAAAGTTACATTCCACTTCTAACACCAAACTCTGTTGATCAGTCTAAATAAACTTGTTGTCAAGTCTCTTCCTTCTGTTACACTTCTGTTCTGACAACAACTGCATATGCAGCACATCTTCCTACCCTACCTGCTGAACGCGAGGTCAGATCTCACAAGTTAAAGGGCACCATTCTCCAGACTTGCCAGTTCTGCCCAAGACTTCTGACACCAGTCCCAAGCTTTGGAAACCCCACAACACCCTCCCTTCTGACCTTCTGGCTCCCACTATTCCTTGGGTTTGATAATTCACTAGAATGACACTGAACTCACAGAAAATACTAAACTTCCAACTACAGTTTTGTAGCAAAAATGATACAAATAAAGAGACAGATGGAGTGAGTTCCGAGAGAGTTCCCATTTCAGACCTTCTGTGTTCCAAAAGGGGATATGCTACTCTTCTTCCACACATCAGTGTCCTTCAGCAACCAGGAAGCCCATGAAGCTTCCATGGACAGAACTTTTATTGGGGCCTTATTCTGTAGGCATGACTAATTCAATGATGCCTCCCTCCACCTGATGCTGGCCAAAATAACTGTGTGGTCTTTCTGGCCTGGTCAGCCCTCACCTAAATCACTCCATTAAGAATAAACCTTCAAGTGTATTCTGGAGGCCTCATTAATCACTGAGGAGTTTCCAAGGCTTCAGAGGTTCTCTGTAAGGAGCCAAGGACAAGAACAAATTCTTTGAGTAAAGTTAAATTCTTTACCCCACAGCTAAACACTAGAAAGAAACAAAGCTCTCCAGCTATAGAAGTAGAGCTGGAAAAATATAATACAAGAATATATGCTGTTGTTCTTTGGTGCTGTTGAGTTAGTTCCAACTCATAGTGACCCCTTTATACAGCAGAGCAAAACACTGCCCGGTCCTGTGCCATCCTCACAATCGTTGCCATGCTGGATCCAATTGTTGCAGCCACTGTGTCAGTTCATCTTGTTGAGGGTCTTTCTCTTTTTCACTGACTTTCTACTTTACCTAACATAGTATCATTCTCCAGGGATTTATCTCTTCTGACAACATGACCAAAGTATGAGACATGAAGTCTGGCCATTGCTTCAAAGGAGCATTCCAGCTGTACTTCCTCCAAGACAGATTTGTTCATTCTTCTCATAGTCCATCGTACACTCAATATTCTTCACCAGCACCACAATTCACAATGCATCAACTCTTCTGAAGTCTACCTTATTTATTGGCCAGTGCTCATATGCATGTGAGGCAATTGAAAATACCATGTCTTCAGTTAGGTACACCTTAGTCTTCAAAATGACATCTTTTCTTTTTAACACTTTTAAGGGTTTTTTTGCAGATTTTTTTTTTTTATTGTGATTTGGGTGAAGATTTACGGAGCAATACACTTTACATACAGCAGTTCACATATACTTTGTCTCATGTCATTGTTTTTGCAGCAGATTTGCCCAATGTCATACCTCATGTGATTTCATGACTGCTGCTTCCATGGGTGTTAATTTTGGATCCAAGTAAAATTAATTCCTTGACAACTTCAATCTTTTTTCCATTTATCATGATGTTGCTTATTGGTCCAGTTGTGAGGATTTTGTTTTCTTTATATTGAGGTATAATCCATATTGAAAGCTATAGTCTTTGATCTTCATCACTAAGTGCTTCAATTCTTCTTCACTTTCATCAAGCAAGGTTGTGTTATCTCTATGTCACAGGTTGTCAGTGAGTCTTCCTCCAATACTGATGCTGTGTTCTTCTACATATAGTCCAACTTCTCAGATTATTTACTCAGCATACAGATTGAATGAGTATGATGAAAGGATACAACGTGACACACACCTTGCCTGGTTTCAACCATACAGTATTCCCTTGTTCTATTCAAATGACTGCTTCTTGGCCTATGTACAGGGTCCTCATGAGCACAATTAAGTTTTCCTGAATTCCCATTCTTCACAGTGTTATCCATAATTTGTTATGATCCACATAGTCAAATGCCTTTGCATAGTCAATAAAACATAAGTAAACATCTTTCTGGTATTACTTTCAGTCAAAATCTATCTGACATAGCAGTGATATCCCTCATTCTATGCCCTTTTCTGGTTCTAGCTTGAATTTCTGGCAGTTCCCTATTGATACTGCTACAACCATTTTTTAATTATCTTCAGCAAAATTTTACTTGCATGTGATATTAATGATGTTTGATAATTTCCACATTCTGTTGTATCACCTCTCTTTGGAATGGGCACAAATATGGATCTCTTCCAGTTGCTTGGCCGGTTAGCTGTCTTCCACACTTCTTGTCATAAATGAGTCACTAGTGAGTGAGCGAGCATGTGAACCAGTGATAGTATGATTACCTGACAACATTGAGGCCCATTTGAGATTCATTATTATGAAGAAAAATAAGTGTGGTGTTGTTTTTCTCTAACCACATTCAGCTATCCATATGCAAGTCCAGAGTAGAAGAGCTGGGTTTTAACCAGGATGACTGCTTTGCCAGAGAAATATGATGAAGTGGGAGAGGAGCAAAGGAGTAAAGGGCCTCTGTAAGGAAATGACTATAATGATTAACCCCGGGATTGATGTTGGCTAAACAGAGGAGAGCAACAAAGAGACAAAAAGCCCAACTAAAGCCACTGCTATCAAGTTGACTCCAACTCCTAGCAACCCTATAGGACAGGGTAGAACTGCCCCATAGAGTTTCCAAGACTGTAAATCTTTATGGAAGCAAACTTTCTCATCTTTCTCCCATGGAGCAGCCGGTGGGTTCAAACCACTGACCTTTTGTAGTTAGCAGCCCTACTGGGGTAAGGGACAACAGGGAATAAGCTGGAAGGATAAGAGGTAATATCAGAATGGAAAGCATGAAACTGAGATAATGAAAAGGTTGAAGCTACTGGTAATGAGAAGATCTAGGCAAGAATTAGGAGACTGATGCGATAATCAAGGCAAGAGATGAGGAAGACCTTGGAATAGGGTGGGAAGAAGCAGGACTTTTTTTTAAGGCTGTAGAATGGACCGTGCTTAGTGATTGGATGTGAGATGTAAGAGAGAAGAAACATCAAGGAAGATTCCGAGGTTCTATAGATGAAAAAAATATGTAGTGCACTTGTAGCATTAAAATAGTTTCTTTGAGTTATGGTTTTACTTGCCACTTGTCTTTCAGAAATTAATAAAATGTGGCCTAGGCTCTTCAACAGATAAATTATAAGAAAAGAAAGAAATGGATGGGGAATGGACAGATTAAGAGAGATCTAGAAGACATCTCATTTTTTTTAATGGTCAGGACTAAACTGTAGTATCTAGGGATGCACATTGGGTGGCATAACTATACATAAATATAAGTAAATGATTATTATCTGCACCAAAATAATGGTTACTTATAGGGAGAGAGGACCATGATTAGACAAGGAACATGGAAGGGTTTCTGAGGTAGCTGGCAAAGTTCTATTTCTCAGTCTAGATGGTGTTCATCTTATAGTAAGGCATAACCCATACATTTGATTTATGTGGTTTTCTCTATCTGTATTCAACTTTAAAATAAAGATATTTTAAAGTAAATAAATAAGTTAAAATTAGAGATAAGAACTGTTCAGTGGGGAGAGTTCATAGACAAATAAGGAAGATTTGTGTTCTCCCACGGAAGCCGCAGTCCAAGTTACAGCCCCTACCCAAGCCCCAAGGTAACAGTCAGGATTACCTTGAGCAGACTGGACTGTGGTGAGCCTGGTTCCATCTAAGATAGGCTCTTGGGACTACACTGACCTGAATCCTGTAATTCTTCTGAAATACGAACTCATTTACTGTGATTACATAAAAATTAACACCATATTGCCATGTATTTCCTTTGTTTTAAAATGTTGGTGGTTGGCTGTGATTTTCTGTGTCTGTGTCTATTGTATTTTCCCCTTGCCATAATTAATCCTATGTCTTCCTTTTCCTTCAGAATGGGTTTTTATCTGCAGTGCCTTACTTTGGCTGTTGGTTATGTATGATACTTTCTGGTCAAGCAGCTGACAATTTAAGAGCAAAATGGAATTTTTCAACTATATGTGTCCGCAGAATTTTTAGCCTTGTGGGTAAGTTAATCAGGTTTTGTTTTGGTTTATATTTATTTAAGATGTTTACATTGCAAAGCTCTCGTAGCATAGTGGCTAAAGCACTTGACTGCTAACCAGAAGGTTGGCGGTTCAAACCCACCAGCCACTCCTCGGAAGGAAGGTTGGGCAATCCTACTTCCGTCGTGATACTGCCTCAGAAACCCAAGGAGGGGTCGCTATGAGTCGGGGCCGACTCGACGGCACATAACAACAACACAACAACAACATTGCAAAGCAAAATAAAAATAGTTTTTCTGACTTCATCTAACTAAGTTTATTTAGTTTGTGTTCTTTGGTTATATATGAATTTTAAATCACCTTTTGTGTCAGCTATTTATTCTCTTTCTCATTTATTCTCTTCTTTTCTCTATAATTCTTTTCTCTGTAAATTCTGTAGAACTTTAGCTGAATCCTCATCACACGTAGACTTAATAGCATTACATAATGAGATTTTCCTTTTATTTTTATATTTGCTGCATTATGCCCATATCTTTTCCAGGAGTTTATTCGTTTTTTATGAAACCCTAGTTTTCATGGCAGTACATTGTTCCTCCAGTAGGTGGCAGTTAGATCAAATATCAGATTTATATTAAGCTGACGGCAGATCACAACAGAGCAAGCAAATATTAATATTAGGACCTCTTCTTTTTCTTTTATGTAATTCTTTAAACTGCAGGAATGATTGGACCTGCAGTATTCCTGGTAGCTGCTGGATTTATTGGTTGTGATTATTCCTTGGCTGTTGTGTTTCTGACCATATCCACAACACTGGGAGGCTTTGGCTCGTCTGGATTCAGCATCAACCACCTGGATATTGCTCCTTCGTGAGTACTATATAGAGATTTGCTGTGATTGCTTTAAATTCTTAACAAGATTCTCATTTACATGACAATTAAAGCATGAAGTCATTTTTAAATTTAAACTTTAACTACCACCACCTCTACCCACAGTGTGCTCATAGAAATATTGCCTGTAACACATTATAACCTAACAACTCGTATCTGTCCACCCAGCTCTAATAGGAAGTCCATGAAGACAGACTGTCTTATCATTAGTGCTCACCATGATGCTTGGCATATAGTGGGCATTTAGTTGAACGGATGAATGCCAAAGAGCCAACCAGTGAATTTGTCCAATTATTTTAATATTTATGTATAAACCTATTTGTATAGTATGTACTTGATAGCTTACAAATCACTTTTACAGACATTATCTTCTTTTTCCTGAAAGCATTCCTATGAAGTAGGTAATCTTGTCCTATTTTATAAATAAGGAAACTCAGGTTCAAAGAAGTTGTGATTTTTCCTACACCATACAGGTAATAAATGATGAGCTAAGATTTGAACCTAAAGTTCTTCCTTATTAAGACCAGAACTCTTTCTACAACTGCCTCTCTAGAATCACTGTTTGCACCATATACTGCTAGAATTATTTTGTACCAGTTGACAAGATAGAGGAGGAAACTAAGTATTTTAACTAAGAATTTAATGCCTTTAATTTTTTTAAAAAAATGAATATTAATTTGTTTTTTGGATAAAATTCAGGTGGTCTCATGCCCTTTTTACCTTATCCCAAATCCCTCATTACTAGACTACGACACAATCTTCTGGATCCTGTTTATCCTTAAGTCTCATCTCCCATCCCTTCAATAAACACTCCACTAAACTGATTCTCATAGAACTCGAAGGGATTGAAATTTGAAATCATTCAAATCTAATTTCTTATTTTATATTTGTTGTTGTTGTTATGTGCCGTCGAGTTGGCCCCAACTCATAGCGACCCTCCTTGGGTTTCCGAGGCAGTATCACTACGGAAGTAGGATTGCCCAACCTTCCTTCCGAGGAGTGACTGGTGGGTTTGAACCGCCAGCCGTCTGGTTAGCAGGCAAGTGTCTTAGCCACTATGCTACCAGATATATATATAGCCCAAAAAGTTTCCACAGAAGTAGAGTCTTCTTGTGCCCAGTGCCTGTTAGCCTGTCCACCACTCTGTGGTGCCCTCTGCTGGGGCTCATGCTGCACCCCTGTAGCAGTGCCTTTCCTCTCCATCTGTCAGAATCCATTTAAGCCCCAGCTCTTCATTAAGCCTTTCCCAGCCATTACAGCCTACTGTCTTCTCTTTCTTCTCTTTATACATTCCACTTACAATTCTGTGCTAGATACATTACTGTCTTAACCTTAATTCATAATTATTACTAAATGTAACTCTCATCTATCTTCTCTCCCCAACTTGGATGTCACTCCTTCAGACTGAGGCTTTTTATGTGTCTTCATCACACCTCTTGGCACAAGATCCATACTTGCTGAGGAGCTGATTTATATGATCATACCAAGAAAGTAGCACATCGATGCTTCCTATATCCTTAACAGTAGAGGACCAAGGAGGGAGAACTGGCAACACTTAGACATTGGACTAAGAAGCTGTTTGAAATACAAGTCAACTTAAACAGAAGCTCTAGGACTGTAAGCTCTGAGGATGCAGGGACTGAGGCTGTCTTGTTTACCACAGTAGTATCAGCATCTGGTCCTGTGCTGGGCCATAGTCAGTGCTCTGTTGATCAGCTGTGTGAGTAGAAGACTAAAAAAATGAGTTTCATATTCAGTTTCATGTTAAAGTCCTTTCATTACTATTTATAATAAAGTCACTTTTTATATTCTCTATTAAATTTAAGTATAGAATTCTTAGCCAACATGCAAGATTCTCCACATTGTGGCCACAATATGTTTTTACAATCATTCCTTTTCTTCTCTAATTTCTATGTATTCTTTGCCCTAGCTGAACTAAACTATGCTTTATTCTCCAGAATTATCCCCAGTACACACACAGGCACACACATATATACTTCCCCACCTTTTTGGCCCTTTGCTTACGCTAGTGTCTATGCCTGGAATACCTACCCTCAATGTGGGTTTGTCTCATGTTTCATCATGATTACATTCAGGTAATGCATCCTTGTCAGAATATATATAACTGGCCTTGTGCCTTCAAAGAATCACATCCAGAGGCCCCTAATGATGTTCATTTTGATCATTCAGATAAGGTGTTGTCTAGTACCTCCAATGAGTTACTACTTTCTCCTTGCCACTAATAATGCAGTCTCTGGGGAGATGCTTTGAAATCATGCAGATATCTTGGTCCTCATTAAACTTTTACTCCCACCTTAGATTTAGCATCTGTTGAAGGTGCAGGCCCAGACCAGTTTCTGCTATGATGATTTCAAAATGGAGATATTTCAACCCCACCACTACCTCTACATTTCCCAGTTGACATTCAGTGTAAGGAAGATAACCCTCATATTTATTTTCATAATCTGAATTTGTACTAAAAATTTATAAACATTGAGTTTGAAGTAGAAGATGTAGTATTTGCTGAGATAGGAATAGAAAGGGACTGTAGTTATTATGTGCCGTGCAGTCAGACCCGACTCATAGCAACCCGTCCTTGAGTTTCCGAGGCATTATCACTGCAGAAGTAGACTGCCCAACCTTCCTTCTGAGGAGTGGCTGGTGGGTTTGAACCGCCCGCCTTCTTGTTAGCAGTCAAGTGCCTTAGGGACTATGCCACCAGAGCTCCTAGAAAGGAAGTAGTGTACCTACATGAGATCTTGCTGGTTGAGACATTTTGTTCTCTCACCTTCTCTGCTCTGTATACATCTTAAACAATTTCAAAAAGCACATTTTAAGGTTCAGCCATATTTTATGTTACGATGTATTCATTTTTCACATGTATTTACTTCCACATAATTCTTTCACAGAATTAACTATATTAATTATAATATATGACTATATATCACTTTATGTCATTAATTTATACCTTGCTAACCCAGTGGTAGTCCTGGAAGGGAAGGACTTTAGCAAGATTCAGAATTCCAACAAAAGTTTAACTATATAAGCCTTCAGATCACATTGTTCTTTAGTGTTGTATGAAATTGCAGTTGCTCATTTGGTAGGGGTAACTCTTTATCTTAAACAACAATATTTTTTTTTCCAGTAATTAGAAATTTGTAGAAACAAAAATTGGTTATATACTGACTACCAATATAAATAGCTACCAATTTTCAAATGAAAGCACTACTTTGTTTATTATCTTTAGTCATTTTTTTTCATATAATTAAAACCAATTTAAACTCTCAGAGTCAGAAATAGATTCATTTAGTTATTAAATCCATTAGTTATAATCTTTGCAGTGTTTAAGCTTTCAAGTTCAAATTTGTTCTTTTACAGTTTCATATAATTTTTTATTTTAAAACAGACATTTATGAGTATGTACTACACATTAACATTAAAAAGGAACTCCCAGTGATGCAGTGGTTAAAAACACTCAGCTGCTAACAAAAAGATCTACAGTTCAAACTCACCAGCATTTCTGTAGGAGAAAGATGTATCAGTCCACTTCCATAAAGATTATAGCCTTGGAAACCCTATGGGGCAGTTCTGCTCTGTCCATAGGGTTTCTGTGAGTTGGAATCGACTCGACAGCAGTGGGTTTGGTCATACATTTAGCACGCTGCAGGACAATACAAAAAATAAGACTCAGCTCATGCTTGCAGAGAGATCAGCCTAGCTCAGGAAAGCAACAATAAAAAGTAGACAGTTGCTGTATAAATGACTCATTCTTTCAACAAATACTTATTGAGTACTATGAAGTGCTGGCTGTAATAGTTACAGCCCTGCCCTATGGAGCTAGTTTAGGACCAGACCAACCAAACTCATTGTCATCAAGTCAATTCTTACTCATAGCAACCCCCTTTGGGTTTCCGAGGTAGTAAACCTTTACAAAGTACATTGCCCAGTCTTCCTTCCACAGAGTGGCTGGTGGGTTTGCACCGCTGGCCTTCTGGTTAGCAGTCAAATGCCTTAGGCATTATACTACCAGAGCTCCTCTAGTCTAGGAGAGTAGACATGAATCATATAAATAAAAATTGTTTGAAGAAGTGAGAGAGTATAATAAGGGGCCATAGGTAGTTAAAAGGGAATGTATTCCAGACAGAAAAATTTATATGACAGGAAAAAGAAACTAGTGTGTCAGTTAACTAAAAGATCATATTTTGGCTGAAATGCAGAGAAGGAAGTCACCAGGGTAATGGTAGGAAATTACTTTGGGAAGTAGACAGGAGCCTATACTTCATGTATTTTATCCTAAGAGTAGGAAGTGACATTCCCTATATTTTAAGATCACTCTTGTGTGGAGATTACAAGTAAAGGAAACCAACTAAGATGCTAATGTAACCTAGATGAGAGGTGATGGTGACTTTGGATGGGGTATAACATGGAGATAAAAATAGATAGATTTCAGATGTTTCCAAATTATATCTGGCAATAGGTTATACTCCTGAAGAGTGAGGAGGGTATCAAGGATGGTGACGCTGATGTATTTTGCATGGGCAACTAGGTGGATGAACGTGCCACTGAAATTGAAGCCTGAAAGAGGAGTATTGGAGGAAGGAAGATCAAGACTTCAGGCAGGTTAAATTTGAGATGTTTGTAAAACCCAGAGAAAATAGATGTTTTGATATTTTCAATTTAATATTTGGATCTGGAGCTCACAAAAAAGCTGGAAATTGGCATTAGGGGATAGGAATCCACATTTCATAGAAGCCCTGGTAGTATAATCATTAAGCATCTGGCTACTAACTGAAAGGTTGGTGGTTTGAATCCACTGAGTGGCTCTGTGAGGGAAAGACCTAGCAAACTGCTCCTGTAAAGATAACTACCTAAAAACCCTATAGGGCAATTCTACTCTGTCACTGAGGTCACTGAGTCGGAATCAGCTCAATACCTCCAAACGACAGCAGCAATCAAGTTTCAGAGATTACCTGGGCAGA